TGATAGTTGCCAGGGCCGGGCCCGTCGGCTGCGCTGCTGGGTGAAACCACCTGGCTTGGCTGTCCCATCGGAGCTGCGGAGCAGACGTGGTCCGAGGTGGTGGCCCCCAGGTGAGTTTGCAAACAGCCTGGGGTGGCTACAAATAACAGCAGCTGGCTACCGCGGCTGGCAGGCTCTCCTGGAGCAGCCACACAGCTCGGGAAATTCATGCTACAAGTGTGTGCTCAGGCTTATCCAAGGGCACTATTAGAGGCAGGGAACAGAGGAACTTCAGGGAACTGTGCACAAAGGTCTTCAGTCGGAGCGGGCGATGACCACTATGATGCTGGGCTGGACACTCTTACTAAGTAACGGATCTGTGGCACAGAGCAAGGCTTACACAAACATTTTGGTAATGAGAAAATGTGAAGGCCTTGAATAAACAGCAGTTATTAGAATACATTTAAAGAAATATATATAGAGATTTTTTTTAACTGTGTCATCTGAACTTCCTCCAGGCAAGTCTAGACAATGTGAAGTAAAAATACCAGTGGCTGCCCTGTACTGGTGCTCCTGTACTGGTTGCTGGGTCTGGCAAATTGTTTATCTTTGTGCCTTGGATTTTTCTGCGCGTTAAGTAACAATCCCTGCCTCGCCGGCGAGCCGTGAGCTCGCTGTTGTGTATCGTGCACTCCGATCGCCTTCTCGACATATTGGTTAGATTTTGGAAAACTGAACAGTGGCTCCTTCTCAAGATGCTTTGGATAGCAGGCCAAGCCATTTTGCATGTTTTCTGTATATGCGAACCAGCCATCTTCAGGGCTTTAACTGCATCTCTTCACACTTCCAATCTTCCAGGTCTTGATTTGACTGCAGTCCTTGGATTTTACTGCTTTTATAGAGTCTGTTCTTTTTTTTTTCTTTCCTTTTCCCTATTTAAATGCATTGATTAGAATATAGTGGCTTAGAAACCTGATTTTAAGCTTCTTCTGTCTCCAAGGTAGTGCCCGCATTCATGTGTTTGTTCCAAGTTTTTCTATTTCTATCTCATTTTTGCTGAGAAAAAGCAAGCTCATGCGGGTAAAAAAAAGGGGATTCCTGTGGTCAGTGTCCCCCTTTGGGGAAGGGCTCCCCATTCCTCCCAGGCTCAGACTCGAAGCCCTGTAGCAAGGCTACAACAATTCTTTCAGATCAAGCTCTTTCAGAGTATTGCAAACGTTCCTTTCGAAAGGCTGTTTAATAGGATAAATATACCCGAGCTCCCCATTCCTCTGCAGTTACTCACAATGTAAAACTGTCTTGCCAGGGATTGGGTTACCGCCCTGAGCGGTCTCCCTGTGTGTGAGCTGAACTTGTGTTTGCTCCCGGAGGTGGGGGAGACGAGACTCGTTTGGATCGGATGACGTTTCCAAAGTTTGGATTCAGAGACTGTGAGAAGGGCCGCCCGGATGAGCCTGAGGCCCCAGAGTTCAGCTCTGGAGATGCAGCCCTGCTCATCCTTTTAGGGGGACAGCAAAAAGGGAACATCTGCACCCAGATGTGTTCCCTAGCTGCAAAGAAAATGTCGCTGGAGAATGGTGTGTCGGTTTGCAAATAGAGGACTGCATTTTCTGTCTTATGACGAGATACAGATGATTATCATATAATGTCCATGTCCTTCTTTAGATCTGTCCTCATGGTCTTTTTGCTTCCTATTTGCTGAGCCTCTGTGCCCGGATCAAAGAGCCTGTAGCAGTTCTAATTATTTGAGTATGCATGGAGGGGAAACGAGGAGTGCAGACACCAGTTCTCTGCAGTTGCATTAGAGGAAATACTGCAAGTCTCTGCTCAGATACCTCATCCTTATTACGCCGTGCACGTTCTGGAATGGCAGGGACATGTGGCAAGAGAGATGCTGGGAGGAGACGGGCTGCTGTGACTGAGGCTGGTCTGGAGGAGGATCCGATCTCCAGTGTCACTTGCGCTCCAGATGTCCCACCCGAGCAGCAGGCAGCACGCGGCTTGATGGTTGTGCCGATGTGGTCTCGTGCACTTAAAAATGAAAGGCTGGTATCTGAGGCGTCTGAGGCATCTTGCGCCAGCTACGTTTCCGTTTCCTCCCTGGCAGCATGCTAGATAGATGGAAAGAAAAAAATAAAAGCCTGAGACCCTTATGGTGTGCTGCTGTATTGATAATGCTCTGATCTGCTGCGTCAGCACGGCTTTAGCACCCGTCCTCGTTTCTGAAAGCTCTGTACTGCATCTGGAAATTGCAGTTTTTCTTTTTGTCTGGCACTAATGCTGTCATCTTCAAGCTGAGAGTATGTTCTGTTGCCATCCTCCTTGCAGGCTGACGTTGCACTGGGCAATCAGCACTAGGAGGGATTCTCCTTAGTAAAGGAAAGCAAATTCAGATTTCTGTTGGCCATTAGCTCTTCTTTTGCTTCACTAAAATAGTAAGTAATTTGCAAATACACTTTGGATGAGAACAAAGTACAATCAATGAGGTGAGTGCTTGATTGCAAGCACCTTTACTGTCAGCTGTTTTTTAATATATGTTTATTTGCTTTTTACTGTATTGCAGTTTAATGTAACTGGGCAGTGGTAATAGGGTAAATTAGCTCACTAAAAGGCAAATAAAATTAAAAAGAGGAGTGGATTAAAGAGGGGATTGATGTGTGCATCAGTGGAAAGAGGCCCTGAGTTATCTATTCCTGTTCTCCGCCTCGGAGCAGTGTCATGCTCCCTAGTCTGGCATTACCGCTCTTATCAGGCCAACCTGGGATGTGGAAGCTGAAGAATGTGCCCCGCGGCTCCGCGTGCAGCCGCTGCTGCCGCAGGAGGCCGCGTCCCCCGGGCGGCGGGGGCGGGCCCGCCCC